GCTACTAAACAGTGGTAATGAGTTGTGAATGATGTGGTAGAACCCCGATCTTTGATCAGTTCTAGGGAACATTTGATTTCTCTGGGTGTATGTTCTTCTCTAAATATTCAGCACTGACTTCTTCATCTCAAGCTTGGAGTAGTAGCAGGTTTTTTTTCTTTCTCATTTGTGTTTCCTTATAGAAAGGGAGGGGGAGTGTGAGACAGAGAGCCTGGAAGATGAAGGTTTTAAACATAAAGGGATTGTTTTGGGATGGAGCTTTCCCTTGTGTGTGTTCACCATTAAAGACGACATTTTTGCCTGGTAAATTGGACCCACGCCTGCCTGCCTTCAAAAAAAAACTACCAGGCTCTTCTGCTTCATGGTTTTGAGTCTCTGATACTTTTGAAATGAAGCCTAAAGATCCTCCAAAGAGGATAACACAGCCTAATGGAAAGAATAATGCAAGCGAGAACCCATCTGAAATGACAGCTGTGAGCCTGGTGCCGCTTTTCGGGCTGATCAAAGCTGCTGGGAACTCTGCCTGAAAAGGGGGATCAGCCCCTGGGAACTCTGCTTGAAAAGGGGGGATCAGCCCCCAGGAACTCTGCCTGAAAAGGGGGGATCAGCCCCCGGCTCCTCTCCCCACTCAGCCTGCACATGAATTCATACTCCAGCCTTTGCACTTCTTTTTTTGGGAGATCAAGTGACCCTCCTGGAGGGCTGGGGTTCAGCTCAGCCACTGGGGAGCACCAGGGGTGTAAGGAGTGAAGTGCTGGGGGGTGAAGGAACCTCTGAGCTCGGTGCCCTCAGCACAGGGACCCCCAAAAGACTTCACAAACCAGTCTGCTGCTTGTGTGTGAACCCTCCAAACACCCCATGGGCACAGAGCAGGGGGGTTGCTTCTTAGGGGCAGTTTCATGGTGGCTTTTATTTAATTCTCTGTGCCTGTTCCATGAGTTTGGCTCTTTTCTGAAGTCAGATTTGGGCATCTCAGCTCCCATTTTCTTGTTTAAATCCCTGTGCTAATTGCTGAAGTCTGGACATGCATCCTCAGGTGCCCAAGTGCTTTGGCCATGTAGAGGAAATTCTTTGCATGATATTTTTTGCTGTAAGGACTAACTTTGTGATCTTTGTGCCTTTTTTTGGGTTGATTCCTGTTGTCTGACTGGTTGTCAAAGATAGGGCTGTGTGTGCTTTGAGAATGCAAAATATTTGGGGTCTTCAAAGGCTGATCAGAGCAGGGCTGAAGGAGTCAGTGGTTTCTCTTGGAGCCACAGCTGCCCTGGCAGCAGGAAGGGGTTCAAATGGTTCTTGGGTTTTTCCCTTGTAGCCAAGGCCAGGCTGGAGGGCAGGAGAACTTGATTTAAGAAGGAAGGGTCCTACCAGAGCAGGAGATGGAGCAGGGCAGAGATCTGGCGAGCCCCTAAAACCTGTGTGAAGACTGGCCCTGCTCAGGCAGCATCATCCTTGCCAGATTTATTCACAAAGCCCCTGGAAATGTGCTAAATCTTGGGCTCCCTCTGCAATGCCCAGAGCAAGGCAGTGGGGCTGTGTGCTCCAGCCCCAGCTGCTGCTCCAGGGCTGGAGCTGCTCCCATCCTGTGGTTCCCCTTCTCCCAAACTCACCTGTGCCTTGGAGAGACAGCAGCCTGGAGTGAATCTGGGACCTCAGGGCAAAGAATTTAACCCAGATCTGTCCATCTTCCCTCACTGCTTCACTGTTTAAAGTGAAACTATTGGTGCAGGAAGCAGCAAAATTTATCTGTGAAAAATTGCACTTGGAACGCTGGTTTTGGCTCATTCTGAGCAATGAGAGAGCATGAAATTGCTGTGAATCCTCAGGGCTTTCCTGGACAGTGTGTGAGCCCAGTGCAAAGCGTTTATTGTAAAATACCTTCTAATTACAGTGCTTCAAGTGGGCACTGCTGGCCTTTGCAATGGCTCTGGGCTTTGTTTCCTCTGGGCAGCTGGGAGCAGTGGGCACACAAAGCACAGGGGTCATTTGAGCAGGAATCAGGGCTTTAAACAAACACCAGGAATGCACTGAGCTCTCCCTCCACCCTTTTGATTTTCCAGGTGACTTCAGAAGGCTCAGAGCGAGTGGGGCTGGTGCTGCCATCAGTGCTGCCCTTGGCTTCAGGACACTCCTGTCCCGGCACCCATTCCTGGCACCCAGTTAGCTCCGAGCTGCTTCTGAATGCACTGGGGGCTGGCTGGCAGCTGGGCCTGCTGACACCCCACAGCCCTCTCTGCTGCACAGCAGCAGTCCCCAGTGCCATTGCTGTCTCCTGGAGATGCCTGCACTTCCCAGGCATCGCTGGGGGCAAACAGTGGCACTGGGCACGTTCTCACACTGTGCTGCCCACAAGTTCTCCTTGCCCCCTGCTCCAGCTCTGGGAGGCATTCCCAGTGCCCCGTGCTGGGATCCCTGCCAGGCAGAGCAGGATGGTGTCAGCTGCCCATCTCTGCTGGGGGGGTCGGGAGCAGAGAGGCACAGAGGTGCCACGGGGAGGTGGCACAGTGGTGGCAGGTCACAGCATCAGTGGCTCAGCAGTGGTGGCAGGGAGGCTGCTCCGTGAGCCAGCCCTGGCCGTGGTGCCTGGCAAAGGGCGTTTTGGCAGGGGATCGATTGCTCTCATGGGCTGGGGTGGCTGGGGGATCCTCCAGTGCTGGAGCCATCCCGAGGGTGTATCAGCAAGGAGGGTTTTGCCAGTGCTGACAATCAATGCCAGTTTCCATCTCGGCGCGGCGTTCCCGCCCGGAGCGCGATGCTTGAGTGCCGTGTCCCAGGGCTGCTTTTATCTCAGAACTGGGATAAAAGCTTTCTTCAGGGGCGGAGGGATTAATTTTTCACACATCTGTCCAGTGGAATGCAATAAGGGAGCCTTTGTTCGGGCTCTTTGCGTGGAGCGCCTTCTCCACCCTTGTTATTTCACTCTTCTTTTGCATGGCAAAACTTTTTGTCCTGCATTTCAAATAGATCCTGAGTGTCCCTGGCAGCTGAACAAGAGAAACAAACTTTCCAGCCCTGTTTTTTGTGCCGTTCTCAGGGGATGCTTGGTGATTTGAAGGGTATTTGATTGGTTTTGGCAGAGGCATTTTACTCCATGGAAAATCCACAGCTCCTCCAGTCCCGTATGGATGGTTTAGGGAGCCCCTGGAGCCTCCAAATGAGAGATCTGTGGGTGGCCAGCTGGTCGTGGAGGTGCCATGGGAACGCTGAGGACACTTCTCTTGGACTGTGCGCCGTGGTGGGCAGGGAGGGACAGGGGACAGTGCCAGCTCTGCTCCTGCCTGAGCCACGGTGGGAGGGCCCAGAGCTTGGCCCAGACGTGGCTCTGCATGAAAATGAAACCCCAGAGCCTCAAGCCCTTGTCCTGCAGATGCTTTCCTTGCTCTTTGGAGGTTGGTTTTACTCTTACCACCAAAGTCTTCTCCCTCCAGCCCTAATCATGTGTCAGGGGACCCACCCAGGGCTGATGGCTCCATGCAGTGAGAGGGAGTTTAACACTCAGGTTCCACACTGGTTATAGCATCCCCCAGTCTGGATGTGCTTCCCCCACATCCCACTCCACGGAGGCTGTGGCAGTTACCAGCAGAAGGTTCACCACAGCCATGTGCAGTGCTGCTCTCTCTGCACGGGGAGCACCACCCTGGGATCCTCTGCCTACATTTACCTGTGCTATGTTCTTTTCCCCCCAACAGCCCTATTACCGTATTTAAATGCAAGTATGTCTTTTTTTGATTGCTGTTTTAAGTAGCTTCAAGTTACTCTAGCCTAGTTGTCTGTTCCTTGCCCTGGTAGCTGAGCTGTAGCTGAGCCATAGTGCTGAAGGTGGTGGGCTGTAGTGTGCTGGGCTCTCTCTCTCTCGCTCTCGGGCTCTCTCTTCTCTTTCTCAGTGCCTCAGTTGTTCTCCTGTGGTTCCTCAGCCTTGCAAAGCAGCTGTGATCATGGTCCTGGTGCCCACAAAGGACCAGGTTGCATTGTGGTGGCCACCCCACGCTTGTCCTGTTGGGTGGCAGGAGCAGTTGGAGCTCCCAGGGACCAGGAGCATCCCTGGAGTCATTGACCCTGGGGTTCTTGTGATTGCCTGGACTTTGCCATTGCCCTCTTAAAATACATGTATTGAAAGTCGGAATCTCTGGCAGGTCTTTTGAATGTTAATTAAGTAAATCAGCAATCTTGCTGGCAGCATTCCATTCCTCTGTGAGGGCTGGGCTCCCTGGAGCAGGGGGATGTCATAGAGCTCCTTGGTCTGTGGCTGGTTTGCTTTCAAGAGCTTTTTCCTCTTTCTTTCTTTCTTTCTTTCTTTCTTTCTTTCTTTCTTTCTTTCTTTCTTTCTTTCTTTCTTTCTTTCTTTCTTTCTTTCTTTCTTTCTTTCTTTCTTTCTTTCTTTCTTTCTTTCTTTCTTTCTTTCTTTCTTTCTTTCTTTCTTTCTTTCTTTCTTTCTTTCTTTCTTTCTTTCTTTCTTTCTTTCTGGTCACCAGAGTGAAGGAGGTACAGATCCTTCCTTCCTTCCTTCCTTCCTTCCTTCCTTCCTTCCTTCCTTCCTTCCTTCCTTCCCCTTTCTCTCTCTCTCTTTCTTTTCTTCTGTCTTTCTCACATTCCATTGAGTTTTTTCTGCTTGATCCCAGCAAATCTGACATGAGGACCTCCTCATATTTTCCATTACTGCTTTGTCTGTAGCCCAGCACGTTATTATCACTTGCAAATAAGCCCAGAAGAGAATTCCCTGGCTGTTTGCAGAGCGGGCTGACCCCGTTCCTGCGGGAGACACGAGCCGAGAGCTGCGGGCTCTGCCTCCAGCCTGTCCTCCTTGGCTGCACGGCGTGCCATGGCCGGGAGCCCGTCCCTCCTGTGCCAAGGGACTTGTGCCACCCGCGGGCACCTGGCCAGGGCTGGGCTGTTCCCAGGGGCACGCAGAGCCGGGCTGGCGAGCTCCGGGTGCCTGTGGCCCGCAGGGACTCGCGGTGCCCGCTGGCCTCTGTCTTTACCCTTGTCCTTTTCTCCACGGCCAGGTTTTCCAGCAGCGGCTTACGGACCAGTAGCAGCGGCAGCCGTGGCGGCAGCAAGAGGATCAGGTAGGGGGGCCCGTGGAAGAGCAAACCCTCAGAGTGCAGGGTCAGGTAAAAGCTCTGTCGGTATTCTGTGTGGCTGCAGCTCTCCATCATTTCTCTGATTTTCCTCACACTTATCCTGGGGACCTGAAAACAATCAATCAAAACAACAAAAAAAAATTAGAGAAAAAATCAGTAATCAATCCCAACCCAAACCCAAACTACAAGCAGAGGCCACAGGGGCTGGAGCACCTGCAGGAGATTGGCGTGAGAACTGCCAAAACCAGGGTAGATATTCCAATTTGTTTCTTCCTTTATTCCTTTATTGCGTTGGTTTCTTTATTTGTTTGGTTTAAATTCAAGGCTCTAAAAGACACCCTGAAAAAAGATCAATTTGTGTTTTCGGAAAAAAAGTTTTGGTTTCTCACAGGAAGCTGGGGTTGGGTTGAGGTGGTGGCAGCAGCTCTGGGTGCTCCCGCCGTGCCCGGAGCTGCTGTCACCTCCTCCACCATGGCTAGCATGGGGCATCCCCATGGCGAGGGGCCGTGTCCCTTGGGCTGGCATCACCAGTACATGGCTGGCAGTTCACCATCCCTGCCTGCTCCAGCCCCGCTGCTTCCATGAGGAACCACCAAGCTTTTCTTCTGTCCTTCTGAAAACCTTGTACTTTTTCTTTTCCCCTTAAGGGAAATACAGAAATAAATCGCTGCCAATTGCCGTTACCGCCTTAGGTTTAAATTCTGCTGAAGACGTGAATCAGCACTTTGCTCGGGTGGCAGAGCTCAGGGCAGCCCTCACGAGCCGTGGGCTCCCACAGCAGGCCGGGACGGAGCCGCTGCCGGGACGGAGCCGCTGCCAGCCCCGTGCCCCTGGCGCAGCGTGTCCTCGGGGACACGGGGCTGGCAGCACCTCCCAGCTCACTCATGGCCGAGCTGGGGGCTCTCGGTGCTTTTCGGGCAGGGCCGGGCTTCAGGAGGCTCTGCCGAAAAGCCCCGACCGCGTGAGGGAGCAGCAGGTGGGCGCAGGCCCCGGTGTGGCTCAGCGAGAGCCTGGGGCCATGAGGCCAGAGAAAGACACCAGGAGAACTCCGTTCCATGCAAACTGGCACTGCTTGCAGGCTACAAAGGACTCTCTGTACCAGTTCCATCCTGTGGCATGTAGAGAGCGCCTAAGGGGTGACTTGCCAGCCTGGTTGTGGGGATCCCCCGAGTCCCAGCTTCTCCTACTGCCCTGGCACGGAGGGGGAAAAACAAACCCAAAGAGGGGAAAAAAAAAACCCCAAAGCCAAACAAATCCCAAGATTGCTTTTGCATATGCTTCCAGGAAAACAGACCTCATTGTTTCTGCCTCTTCCTCATGTTTTGCCCTTCAGGTTTTGTTTTACGTGCAAACAGACCTGGTGAGTTGCCCCTTAGCAAGGCACAGAGGGTTTGGCTGGATTAACGTTGCTTCCCTGATTATTATTATTATTTTTTTTAATCGGAGTGCTTTTGGTGCCCATTACAACTGAACTGAGCATTGATCAATTCTGTGCCTGAAAATCATTTGTCTTTAATTTGAGTGTTTTTTGGTTTCTCTTTTGTTGGGTTTTCTGATTTGTTTTTTCAGTTTTTTTGTTTTTTGATTTGAACTTGCAATACAAAACTAAATCTAACCCTAAATTAACAACACCCTTTCTGGCAAGTTTAAAGAGCAGTATGGTGTTTGGAAATGTCTTTTCAAGCCTCAAAATTGCCTGCATGCACAAAACTGGCAAAAACCCCAAAACTGAACCCAAAGAGCCCCTGTCCCACCCCTGCCCTGAGGTCTCAAGGAGGAAGGTGGGTTTGTCACCCGCCCCGCTCACATCTGCACCAAGCCGTGGTCTGGGAAAGGGGGGTTTCTGTAGAGTCATCTCCATCCAGAGCTGGTTTTGGAAGGGACATCCTGGGTTTGCCACTCCATCAGCAATGGTAGTGAATTGTATCCAGGAGCAGTGGAGTCCGATCGATCTTGCGCTGCAGTGTACGGGCCCGATTCATTACAAGAAAAATGGCTGGGGTTTTCTCCTTCTTTCCTGTTCACTTGGGTTTTTGTTTTCCCTTCACAAATTCGCACAGCCCTCCTTCACGCGTGCCTGGTCCAAAGCACAGAGCACAGCACGGCTGGCCCTAAGTGGCCCCTTTCTGCCAGGAAATGGGAAAGAGCTGGGAAAAACACCCGGGCAGGCGTGTCCCACCACCCCAGCTCACTGGGACAGCTCTGCCCAGGGCTGCTGGAGCAGAGCGCAGGGCAAGCATTGTCCAGGAGGGTCCTGGAAAGCATTGATGACAATCCATGTCATCAATGTCCCCATCACTGCTGCCTCTTCAGCAGCTCTCCGGCCCCATCCTGCCAGCTCTTCCCCACCTTCCTGGTATCAGTGCCAGCACAGAGACAGAGCACCCACAGAGAGCATCCACCTTCAGGTGTGTGTCTTGGTCTCCCCGGGAAGCTGCACCCTCTCACTCCAAGCCCCTGGGCACTGACCACCTTGGCTTGTCCCTGGGGTGACATTCCTCCTCTTGGGACACCTGCATGTTTGCTGAGTCAGCAGGGAGCCTGCTGGGGGCCTCCTCCCTGCCCTCACCCCTTCTTTTTCCCTGGCAGCGTGTCACCAGCTGACCTTGCTAGATAAACAGGTTCTTCTGTGTCACGGCAGGTCTGTCCTGCAGCCAGCAGAAAGGGACGTGTCCCTGTGCCCGTGCTCAGTGCCACCATAAATTCACGTCCCGCGTGGCTGCTCGCGTGCCGGCAGGGCGAGCGCGGCCGTGCTGCTCGGCACAAATCACCTCCCCAGTCGACGTCCCAGTGATGAGGTGACAGCTGAGGTCCTTCCAGCAGACACAGGTCTGGCCACATCCATTCGCTCGGGGTGGGGCTGTGCTGCCCAGTCCCTCCACTGGTTTTGACAACCTCACCCATTCTTGTATTTTTTTAATGAATTGGGACCTGAGCCACGGAAAACGAGCAAAGTTAAAAGTCTGAATGCTGCAAACTCCTCCTAGACAACTTCACTATCAGTGTCACGTTTCTTTTGAATCCACCTGACATATTTTACGTGTAAAACATTTTTGTCGTGTAAATGCTTTTTTTGAAATACAGTCATGGGGGGGGCACATTTTTCTCTTGCATTTGACATGGGAGGGGTTCATCTGGCAGGAGAGCGAGACGAGGAAAATTTGGCAGGAGAGGGTTTTCGTTCCTTCCTCTTTGGTTCATTGACAAGCCTGAGATTTTTCCAGTTCCCAACCTGTTGCTACCAACTGTTCCTCCCTGAGGACTGGAGACAAAACCCGTAAGGCCACACTAATCCAGCCCTGTCCCAGCTCCCTCAGGCAGGCTGTGCAGCGGGACAGCGCAGTGCCACGGCGCCAGGGGCTGCTCCCCACCCCAACCCCTGGCACATCTGGATTTTGGGCCCCAGTCCCGGCTTGCCAGTGCTGCCTTTGAGCCCTGCGCCCCAACAACCCCTTACTGGACTTTATACTTGCCAGCTATAACAAATCTCGTAACGTGAGCTACTGACCTTGATGGTGAGTGTGAGCAGTTATGTTTTGTTGTTTTCTCTCTTGCTTGGTTGGGGCTGCTGTGAGAGAGGGTGTCTCTGAGGCAAACTTTCCGGCCTCTCTTACACTCGGACGTGCACACCTCCTCTCAAACACTCTTCTGAGCGCTCTCAGCGGGAAGGTTTGTCCACACCTATTAATCCTCTCTCAGTGTCCAGCTTCTTGTTAGTAGCAGCTGGTTGCATGTTTTTTGCTTGTTCGGACGAAACGGTTCAAGAAACGACTCATATCAACTCTTGAGAAATGTCTCTATTTTTTTGTACACTTTCTTTCTTTTGATGTTTTTTATTAATTTCCCTTACTTAAAAAACAAAACACCTGTCGTCCCGTAAAACATTTCACATCTCCCCTTGCCTGTTCTTAGAGTGTATGTATCTGTGGGACTGAACTAAATGCATGCACTGTAGTAGTCGTACTGGTAGCAGTAGATGTAGTTGTAGAACATGCATTGTCAAGTTGATATTATAGGCACCATCAACGCGGACGAGCGTGGCAGATAAAAGCAGAGCCTTGGTCTGATTGAAAGCGTAGGGATAACACAGCAGAGAGCTGCTGATGGCTTGGATCCACAGAGCCCTATTCGTTAAATCCCATTATCTGGAAGTTTAAATTGAAGCCGGCTGTAGGCAACCTACACCCTCCGTACAAGAACCCGCACATGCTCTTATGCTGATAGTAAAACTGACCTTTTTTAATTCAAATTAACCCCCCTAGGAACTGAAACACTGACTCTAACTGTATCCTCTTCTTTTTGTTTTGTATCCAAAAGAACCTGAGATATTTTTCAAATCATTTTACAATCATGGTTTCTCCATCAGCCTGTTACTCGTCCATATTAGCCCATAGACTCATCCGTTGGCGGTCGTAGAGCAGATGTGCCACACGCAAATCACTCCATTTGGGAATCCAATAATGCCGTGGGTGAGGCGGCTCCCGCAGCCTGTCCTGAGCCACCGAGCCATTGTTTGTAGGTCATAAACCTTAAATCTTATTATGCAACAGAGACTCCGAGCTAGTGATGGGTCGTACTCATTGCCATGTCACCCAGCTTAAGGGAACATTTTGAAATGAAGATTTAACATTTCATAAATATCAGCATGAGGAGTTCGAGGCAAGTTCATCCTCTGTGCCACGAGCCAGCAGTGGCTTTGCTTCTCCTGCCTGGGTTTCTGTGCTAAACTTGGAAAATGCAGAGACGGCGCTGCAGTCAGTAAATCCAACAGATGGTAATTGAGATCCCGAATTAGGCTTTGGTTTATTTGTTTTTTAGTTTGCTGCTTGTCAGAAAACACCCTGATGGGAGCAGAAAAGCTCCTCTCTGGTGTGGTCACTCCTCCCCACGCCCTGGCCATCCCCAAAGCCGGCTGTGCTGGGTGGGAGCATCCCCCTGCTCTGCTGGGCAGAGCCATGCACTCATTAATGCACTTCAGGCAGCAAGGGCTTTCAGAGGAAATAAAATACCCAGAATGGGCTTTCCAGTGTCATTAAGGATTTGTATCTGCTCCTTACCTCTAATAGAACACTGAGTAAATCTAGCAAACAAGCGCTGGGCTGACACAGTGCAAGGTGAGCTGAGCTGCCCCTGGTGCTGCCAGGGAGCTGAGCACTCGTGTGCCAAGGCAGGGATAAGGTTCCCTTTGGATCTCAGTTTTCCAGGGAAACAGGGAGCCCGCCGTTCAGTGGGATGAAGTGAGGAGTGTGCCTGAAACTCAGCAGAGCGATAAATTGCACGGGGTCGAGGAAACCTTGTCTGACACCTAAGGAAGGTGCTCCAAAATCTAATCTACTCATAGTTTAGCAAATTAATGGCCATAAAAACGGGGACTGTGGTTGGGCTGTGTGTGCAGGGGGAGAGGAGCTGCCATGGGCTCGTGGAGATGTCAGGAGGAGCATTTCAAAGATCCAGCCCTGAACCAATTTGGGATTTCTACGGCCCGCTGGGAGGACTCCCTTGTGGCACGGTGGCTCTGGTGGAATTGCTCTCCCTTTTTTATTTTCCTCTATAAAAGTACATAAAGTTTAATCCAAGCTATGTAATCTCAAAAGCCAGAACCTAACAAGTGGACCACTTGGGAGCAGCAAGGGCTGGAATTTCTCACTCCACTGGAACGCCAGTAATTATGTGCCAGAGCCTGGCGGGTGATGCACTGGGAAATTAATGGCTGCATTGGATTTCATCCTTTGCTTATCTCCCTGGCAGAGGCAGCCCGTGCTGGGGAGCACGGCGGGTGGCCAGGCAGGGACCCCACACTGGGGGGGCTTCGGGGAGGGGTGGGAGCAAGGGAAATCATCCTGCTTTAAACAGGAATTCCATCAGCCAGGCTCGGCAGGCAGCAGCCCCAGGTGGTGAATGCGCTCTGGAGGAGCCACTCCACATTCCCATGGGTGGTTTTGGCCTTCTTACTGACATGCTGGGAGCCCTACAGTTACTTGTCTGTCTACTACCCCAAATTAAAATAATAATAATGATGAAAGAGGCATCTTTTCTGTTTGGCTCAGAAGTGCTGTGCTGCTCCAGGATGGGAATCCCACAGGTCCTTTTCGGAGCAGGCTCCAGGCAGAAAAACCCTGTGTTCTTGTTTTACTGTAGGATGCCACTTTTGGATCTTTTTTGATCTGTGAGAGACTGAGCTTCTTCCTGCAGTGCCAGGGAGAAAATTCAGTAGATATGAAACAATTTGCTGCTGCTGCTGCTCGACCTTGGCCACAGTAGCCAGTGTTTGACAGGGCACTGGGCTGAAGTCTATTGAGGTTAAAATACATCAGCTTTAATCAATAATTTTGTAATAGAAAATCTTGTGCACTTGATAAATCATCTCCAGTGCAATTAGTGACCACCTCTGAAGTGCAGTTGAAGTTAATCTGTAGCGAATTTAGCTGGTAACTTTTAATAGTCTTTTCCATCAGGAGAATTATTTTCCACGGGAAAATGCTCCTCAGAATGCTCACCATGCTGTTTTATTTAGGGAGAAATTCTTCTCTGTGAGGGTGGGGTTGTCCAGAGAAGCTGTGGCTGCCCCCCTCCTGGAAGTGTCCAGGAGCTGGGCGCAGCCTGGGACCATGGAAGGTGTTCCTGCACATGGCAGGGGGTTGGAACAACTCTGGTACCCTCCAAAGCCCTGCCACAGCCAATTATTCATGTTTTATTCCCTTTCTCCCAGCGGAAGCTGGGGGACAGAGCTGTTGGCAATTGTAATTAGACTTTGTTCCCTGCAAGATGCAGACAAGTTGTTGCAGAGCTTGAAGTGGGGTTTCAGCACGTGCTGTCCAGATCTTCCACCACAGGACGGTGTCTCATGCATTTTAATCCCTAAGCAGGTAAAATACTGCCAGAGCTGAGGGTGACTTGCCTCTCCAGCAGCAGTTGCAGGCTGTTACCCATTAGTGGAACAACTGCTAACTGTGAGGCAGCACACATTGGACTGACACACTACTGTCAGTATTTTCATGCTGATTCTCTCCCCAAATGCTTTAAAAGTAAATACATAATTACAGTGATGTTTTTTCTTGCTCTCTTCTCTCTGAAATAGAAGGCTGCCAGAGGAGCAGAGTAGTTTTTCCTTGCAGCAGATGTTGGTGTGCATCTGGCTCCGTGTGAGCTCGAGAAGCACGGTAGGTTAGGAGTTGCCAGAGAGTGCAAAATGGATCTGCAGGTATATAAACCTGAGCTGTTTAAAAGTAATAAACTCACGCAGCTGGGGCCTTTGTGAGCATTTCCTGATGGTTCAAAGAGCCCAGAACTCTGTGCCCTGACCCTGACTGGGGTGTCAGCTGCCAACAGCGTGGCTGGTGCCACCAGCTCTCCCCCAGGCACCATGTACTGGGCAGCAGCTTGCCTGGTGCAGAGCCTCCCACAGGAGGGGATGGCTGCACAGGACCGGGGGTTTGCAGGCTGGATGCCTCTTCTGTTACCTGGATAACCCCCCCTCCATGCTCCTGAGCATCCCCCCAGCCCGTGGGATCAGCAGTGGAAAGGTGCCCCCCAGGCAAGGCCCTCCTGCTACTATGACTTGAATTATGCAGCAAAACAAAGAGCCGTTTTTGGTTTAATTTTCCTCCTGTATTGTCTGTTATTGTACAAAAGGCTTCCATTTCAAATTACAGGAGTGATAGCCAGTTAATGTGGTACAGTGGGAGGCCGGAGTTGCTGTTGCTATGGCAATGGAGTTCGGCTCATTTGTTTTGTAGATGAGTAATTACTACGCAATTAGAGTAGGCTAAAAATAAAGGGGCCTTTTGTTCCCTCTTACTCATTAATATTAATAAAAGACCTGTCCGGGCTGTGGTAAACAATTAATGCAGATGTGGTTGCCCATGGTAAAATTAACAGCAGCTCTCGTGCTCCTCGGCGTGAGGTGAAGGCGCCGGCATCACCTGGCTCAGCTCTTCCTTCATTTTAAATGGAAAAATGGTTACAGAGGGGTCTGTGATACCCCAGCATCTGAGCTTTAGCTCTTATTTGCCAGTTGGATGGGTGGTAATAAGTGTTAAAGCTTCATGTGCAGGCAGAGGCAGCAGGAGCAGCGCTGGGGTCGGCGCCTGTGACACAGCGAGCGCTCCAGGGCTCCGGGAGGAACCCGGCAGCAGCAGTTCCTGTGCTGACAGATCCTCATTCATCCCCCCTGGATAAATGCCAGGGCTGGAGCAAGAAACTTGCCCAAAAACCTGAGCAGAGGCAAGGACAAGCGTGGTGCTGCTGAAATGACTCCAGCACAGCATGTTACAAACACAGATCGACAAAAAAGAGTGTAAGGAGCAGTCCCAGGCATTTGAAGTGAAGTAAAAAGATGACAGTACCTTTAGCCTGGGCATTAGGATGAAATTCTTCCCTAGGAGGGTGGGGAGCCCTGGAACAGAGTGCGCAGAGGAGCTGTGGCTGCTCCATCCCTGGAAGTGTCCAAGACCAGGATGGACAGGGCTTTGAGCATCCTGGGATAGTGGAAGGTGTCCCTGCCCATGGCAGGGTTTGGCACTTGGATGGGCTTTAAAGTCTCATCCAAACCATTCTGTGATTCTTTGAGGTATGTAAACATTAATCACATCATATTTTAAATTAGCTGTAAAACCAGTTAAATTGGCAGGAACCAGTTAGGAAATCGACTTGACAGCATTTATCTGCCT